CCATAGGGACATCTGATGGGACGTAGGTAGGTTTATATACAATTTCAAATAAATATAAGGACAATCCCGTAAGATATATTATGTACACGTATATGGTGCGTAGTGTACCTGCGTGACGTATGTGATCCCTATTTCATCCCCTATCAGTGCAATCAGAAACGGATTAAAACAATTCGGGGTTCGGGGACCAAATTTTCCAATATAGATGCTAAACAAATTCTGTTACAGATAAGCCATTTTATATGTAAAAATAGTTTCATTCTGCATATCTTTCCCGAGAACCTCCACACCAATATGTATAGGTATTTATTGTATGTGTGTAGTCTTGTAATATATATAAAATGAACGTAATGTGTTATAAGGGTTTTACTGTTTTACTCATTTTTAACCTAACCTTATTTAAATTACCTATACGATTTTTACTTGAATATATTATTATATATTCAACTTAATTTCTTCGGAAACCAGGAAAGGTTAAGTTCAGATAGTCCGGACCGGATATTGCGGATACTTTGTCAATTGCACAGAACGTCTAAATAAGGTATACATGGGTCATAGGTATATATATAATATAATAAAGAAAACACACGGGGATAGTATACTATTAAAGGATTTATGTTTTAGCCGATTTAGTTGCTCAGTCTTATGGGGTCATTCCGAAAATATATCTGACTACACCGAGATCTTTAATATTGTTATCTTAAGTATATATAATTATTGTAACTGTAACTATAGGTACTCAATTTTTTCAATATAACATGTAATATTGAATTTGAAATTTGAAAAATTCACAAAAATCACTTGGGTGCTAAACTACATTTGTTCCAAATTTCCAATACATATTATATTTTCATTTATTAGTTAGGCGTATCTCTTAAATTTCTAGGAAAGCCAATGTTAAATAAACAAATTGCAAATTTCATAAAAAAAATAGTAGGTACCTTTAAGTAAAATAAAAAAGAGACGAATGCAGTTTAGCACCCAACTACCCAAGTGTGTTTTGTGAATTTTTTTTTTTCAAAATGTTTTATTGAATGCTTAATATGATAGTACTTTAAAAAAAGGTCAGTCAAACTTTCTTTGAAAATTATAGTCAAAAATCTTCAGAATCTTTTCAAGTTTATAAGTTGTACCAAAAATTAACATTTTAATTATTTTTTTTTTTTTTTGTAAATGTGAGTTTACCATTTTGGGCGAATCAGGATTTACCTATCGACAAACGCGTGAATACATTTCATATTTCGTTACTCACTGTCCTTTGATATCTTTAATTAGCTACTCTACTTCAACCGATTTGAATGTTGTAAATTATGTAAATACTGTACCCATTGTTAAAGAACCACTGTCTACACAACAATAAATAGGACGTTGCATTTAAAACTAGTTTATTTTTTAAGCTTGAACAAACAATTGTCCAAGTATATCTTAGTCCTCGTTTTCTCGTATTTACTACCTAGTACCTGATCGAACGATATAACTGTGCTAAATCTATTGACATTGATATTTCTATGTCGACTGAATTCAGTAGCCTTAACACCTATCTATTTACCGATGTATCTGCAATCTGTGTGCACTGTAGATAGATACTTAGAATTTATATGGGTTATTTGACAAAGATATAAAAAATAAAGTATGTAGTTTTCAAATGCATAGGGAAAAACAAAATAAAATTAAGAAAAAATATGATTTTTTACGCAAAACCAGTTTTTGACAAAATTGATTTTGTTTTTTTTTTTTTTTTTTGGTGTACCTACCTAACTTAAAAACAAATACCTACCTACTTTAAATTTTCACAAAATGTTTATTTTATTATTTTCTATACATATATAAATATCATTTTTAAACTGTTCAACTATTATGTATCTTTTTGATCTATTATCATAGACATCATCAGTAACAGAAAAATTCAATTTTCTTTAGTTTTTTTCTATAAATGTCAATAAAAATGATTAACATTATTTTATAACATAATACATTTTTATAAAACCTGAAAATTTAGGATAAGATTATTCGTAAGTACCCGCGTACATAGTTCATACTAGAACTATCAGTCTAAAAAAATATACAGGCAAAATTTGTTTTCATAGAATAGGTACGATTTTATTTGTAGTAATTTAAAAATATTATTCGAGGTAGGTACCTACTTGAAACTTTAACTGCACCTATATTATTATAGTGTTATACATATAATGACGTATAAAATGCAATATTTTCGATAAAAGTTAATTTAACTTTACTGTATTAGTATAATAGTATGACAGTATCACAAATACCAATACCTACCTAGTAAAATAAATTACTTAAATAGCAAAAATATTAAAAAATATACTTATTATGTACCTACCTACCTAATATAGGTTGACAGTCTGACTAGCTCAGAATCGTTTTTCTTATACAATCATAGGTGCCGACTTCACTGGTCAACTAGGGTAATAACCACCGTACTTTGATTTTAAGGGGGGGGGGGCATTGCTCCCGTACTTCAATTATAATGGTGGTAAGACACTAAAAAGTAAAAATATTTCGTTTTTGTGTAGGTATACAAATTATTTGATTATTATTAGTTATTACTATGATAGCTAGGTAATGACAACCTACCTACCATCTAAATACCTATAGCTAGAGATAAAAATATAAAATATATGTGTTTTTGGTCATTCATCTAACCGTGCTTATAGGGAATACATACAATTTTTATTAACAGACAAACAGTACTGTCTAGTCACTGCATGCACTACTGAAAGATCCTTTGACAGTTAAAAACAAAACAGTGAATACAATTTTACATTATGTTAAAACTTAAAATGCTGGTAGGCTATTGATAAAAGTCTTGAAATGCATTATCCTTCAGAGTTCAGATGTTCAGGGATCAATAGCAAAGTATACCTTTAAAATCATAATCAATATTGGCTACCTTTAGCTAGTGATGCAACTCAAGTTCAAATCTTGGGGGTGTCACAATAATTATGCTATGTCCTCACACCCTCCAACATTATAATATGTTACCAATATTTAAATTGCACCATTAGAAAAAAAAAATATCACATCTTATTTTTTTATTATATTATTTTATAATATTAAAATTTAAAGTATTAAACATAATTCCTTATTGATAGTATCAAATGTTTTCATTAGTTCGTCTAAAACAATGTCATTACTCATTAGCTAGGTCTGTTAGTAGTCTCCAAATGGAAAGGTTATTTATTACATTATTTGTTTGAGTTCATTTATGTTTTGAAACTTAAAATATTGTATTTTTAAATAGTTTGCTTTAAATAATTTATAGTAATAGTATAAAAATAGGAGCTAGCTTACCTAGGTGGAAAACTTCCAGTAATATGTAATATTTTTACAAAATTGTTCAAATTTTAACCATAATGCCTTATCCGTAAATCTGTTCACATACTTTTAAATGACTCAATGACACTATCAAAAATAATTTAGACATACCCTTATGTGTTTTAGATTGTAGTACTGTATCGTGTATGTCTATAACTCCAAACAAATCTCTTAATATAATTACTAAAATTATAAATTTATATTTTTTAATTTAAGATTATAATACAATAATAATATAATATAATCAGAATGCAAGATAAGAAAAAATAAATAAATTCTTAAAAATAAAATTACATTATTAAAACTATATATAGGCATTTGAAAATACAAAGACAAGGGGGTGCTTAGCATTAAATTAACAAAAACAGTAAGTACACATCATAACTTATCTGTAACAAATTGTTATTGTGAAATTTGTCTCGATGCAGTAGAAATTTGATTTTCTGATGATTAAATAAACCATAATCAGGAAAAGTGTTGGGTATTTATTTTTTTTAGTTTGTTTTAATTGATTACTCACTTAAACCATATTTAATGTTTAATAATGTACTTATCAATTAATTTTCCTTGCTTACCCTAATATAGCTATATTAACTGATATATTAAACTGACTTACACATATACAAGTTGTTATACATACTGTATTGCAGATTTTATTTGATTAGTTTTTGTGCGCTGCACTTAAGAAAATAGATGAGAGACACATACACAAAAATGTAAAAAAACTGACTGCTTTATTTTCACAAAGCTAACAATAACAAATATATTATTTTATGAGTTTCTAATTTCTTATTAATAATAAATAATGAATTAAGTAACTATTTTTTATGGCTGGAAATTATAATAATCGGAACATAGAAAAAGTTATTTTTATGAAATATTAATATTAATATATTATACAAGTTCTTATTATATAATCTGGATAAAAAATAGTTTAATTTGAGTAGAATTTAACATCACAATAAAATATTTATATATAAGTAACATAGACCATATAAATTTGTCTTTAATACAAATAGTAACATTTACAAAATATAGATATTCTTCTGGTATGAATATAAAAATAAATAATCTATAATAAATTAATGTATGTCTGTCTGTCTGTTTGTGTGTACATATTAACCATTTATATATTATTTTGAGATTTCCGATGGAATTTTTTGTATATTAATGGTTGCCATGGTAATATGTAAAACATATTATTCATACAGAGTTGGCATTTTTGATGGGAAGTGCACGGGATCAGCTATTTATATATATATATATATATATTGATAGATAGATTAGACCTCTGTGCAGAATATAGGCTAATTCAAAAAGGGAGAGGACCAACCAAGGGATGTCCCCAAACAGGGGTTTTAAGATTTCTGATGGAAATTTTTGTTTATAAATGGTTGTCATGGGTTTTAATTCTATTATAGTAATTATTGGTTACCATTGGTTTAAAACAAATTCATATAGAGTTGTCATTTTTAATGGGCAACAATGTGCATGGGATCAGCTGGTATAATATAAAATAAATAATCACTGTGTATAATGCATTCGATCGTAACATAATCTGAGCTTATAAACTAAAAATTGTACAAATGAAGTTTCAAAATAATTGAGCATTACTATGCAAACTATAAAAAAAAAAAAAAAAAACAATTATAACTTATAACTTATAAAAATCCTTGTGGCAGTTTAATAACTCCCAAAAAGTTGTTGAATGGTGAGCCCAGATATAATTTACCATCAACCACTTCAACATCACATATTCCAGTTACCTTTCCGTCTGTAGAATGATAACTTGATAATACTTTTCCGTTTTCATTAACTTTCAAAATAGAAAGTCGTTGTTTGGATATTGATTTGATAAATGACATTGATTCAAAATGTCCAATCTGAAAAAAAATGTGTACGCTTGATTTTATACTATGTTATGATACATTTAATAGACATTTCTTTAACAATAAGTATATTTTTAAAAATCCAACTCTACATTGTATAAATGCAAACTAATCTTTGATACATGTATGTATAATTTTAAACAAATGTTTATTAATGAGTCTACTTTATTAAACCAACATTTACACTTTTAACATCTAAAAAAAACTACTGAATTGAATTAAATGATAATTAAATACTTTTATTATATTGTATGTTTAAGTTGAAAATGATAACATTTAAAAATATTATGAAGCAAGATAGGGAAATTATGAATGAAACATTTATATTTAAAAATATCAATACATTTTAATTTAAACTCAAAAATATACAATAAGTGTAATCATTGATTATGAATACTATAGATATATAGTATATATATAGTGGACTATCTATACTCTATAGTATTCATAATCAATGGTGTTATGCATACAAATATGAAATAGCCATACTGAATGTATTAAACAAAATTAATTTTTTATATTGTTTTATGATCTAATGATCAAAAAAAGATAAAAATATATTGAAATACCTATTTCATAAATATTATGTAATAAATAAAATAAACAAGATTTTATAAAATACAGTATAGATAGGTATGTATGTTAAATATTTACCCAACGCATGGCTTTTTTGCAATATAAATTGGGATATAATGAATTGATTTTTAGCAATGTAAAATCAATTACTCCTAAAGATTTGGTAATCATCATTCTAATAGTTGGATATTCGCCGATCATATCAAAAATTGGAATTCTTGGTATGACTAATGGAATATAAAACGACCCTCTACCGTTTCTTTTAATATTATCTGGCATTCCTGGCAAACCATCAATAAATACTTCATTTTTCCCTGTTTTGGGTCCTTTCAAATAATACCTAACAAATAAAACAAATAATTTAATTTTTAAATAATGTTGTTAAATATTTCTCACATACTTGTGTACACGATATTTTCCAGTTTCGGACACCAATAGGAATGATTCATCGTCTGATAATTCCACACCATTAGCAAATTGAATATTTTTCATTAACACTGTATTTCTTTTAGTTTTTGGATCATATTTCAATAATCTAAAAAATAAAAATGTAGTTTATTGTTTTTATCTGGAAAACCATTACTAAATACTTAGTAAAGTTAATTTTATTAATTTATATATTTTTTTTAATATCAGTGAAATGTGTTATTATTTATTTAGTGTACATAATATAATATTATTTTATAACAAATAGCATTAATTATAATATTCTGTTGCTTTGTGTAGGTATAACCAGAAAATTTGTTAGACCAGGCTCTTTTATAGCAGCTAGGTACCTAGTTATGACTAACATCATTGGAAAATCTCTTATACAATACTATTTTACAATACCTACCTATTTATTTTAAGTTTTTTGTCTTAAAATGTTGCCTAATTTATTTCTCTAATAACTCAAATAAAACCTAATAGGTCTTAGTTCAATCAAATCATGCTGTGTTTGTTGATAAAATACAGAAAAAAAATATTTATTAACCTTCCAGTTCCATCGATAAATAATGTATAAACTCCATCGTGTAATTTATAGTTTGTATCAGAGTCTGTCCAGTAAACTGTACCATCAGAAGCTATTACAACAGAATTTGGTAATTTAGGACGTACACCATCAATAACATCATCCAATGAAACTAATTGCTCTTTTTTGCCTATTATATAAAAATAAAAACAAATATTGTGTAAAAAAACTATTCTATCAGCAATTTATTTTAAAACATACCATACTGATCTGGATTTAAATTCACTTTAAAAATACCATAATACGCATCAGCTACATATAAAAATCCTGTTTTATCCATACTTAAGCCAAGTGGACGTCCACAAATATGTTCATCGTATAATCCATCTAAAACAAATCAATTAAATTTAAATAGGCATTTATAGAATGATATTTATTTAATATACATTGGTTTGGTACACAAATTATCTGCAATATTTTAATATGGTGTTTGGCACATCCATTTAATGAAGACTGCACAAATTATATTTTCAAGTATTTATAAAATAAATTTACTTACCACAGACTTTTCCAAATTTTACAACAGGAATTATTTCATTATCAACAATTTTAACAACATGGCCATAATGCAATGTTGTATATAAAGTATTATTATGATACAACAGGCCTTCGGGTCCTACAATTTGATCTTCAAAAAGTTTTGATATGCCCGATAACTTTTCATTTAATGCTAACGGTCCTGTCAAAGGTCTTTGTGGTGTGACACTGTTAACATTTTCAGTAATAATAATAATAATAATAATAATAATATTAAATTAGTATTCCGTGATATTATGTTTGTACAGTAAAACTTTCGTTAACGGTCACCTCTATGTAAAGGTCAATTTTTTTGGTCCCGTAGAGTGTTATCCTAGTGTTGTCCTACCTCTGTAGGACGGGCACCTCTAAATAGCGGTCATTGTTTACAGTCCCTTCGGTGACCATTATATGGAAGTTCTACTGTATTATATTGATGTATTAAAGATTAAGGAATAAGGGCCCAATTTACTAACAATACAATATTATTGACCGTCTCTTTGTGATATTGAATTTGTGTTCCATAAGTATATGGAAAATATACTGGTGATGAATTATTGACACAATAAAATGTATTATGTAGGTATAGTGGCGTTTACAACTCACCTGTATTCGGTGAAAGTGACGTTGTTCTTTAAAGGTAGCATGGTAAAGAAACCAACCAGAGCTGAGGTATAAATACCCAATTTCAACAACAAGCTTGAGATTGTCTGTATTTGAAGTGAAATAAAACAGTTATTATTATAGGTACACAGAATAAACAAATTATGACGGATAACAGTGGTACAGCTCATGGGTATGTTTTCCAATGTTCATCAGTCATAGATCGTTAGGTCCTAAGATAGATTATAACTATGAATTTACCATTTTTTGGCCGTTGCGTCCTTGATACAATGTAGTTGATGAGTTATTTGTAAGAACGTGTTGTCAAATTAACTGTGGCAATAGCGACAGTAGAAGTAGAAATAGTGGTAGCTAATCATTAATAAATTATAAAATAAAAAAAACCTGATGTTGACGTTATATAAGTTATCAAAGTCGAACACAGGTCATACACGATATTATGCACGACTGTAATATTATTGTTACGAATTTTAGATTAGGTATTAGCATTGATTATACTTGTAAAAACGTCATATTAACTTCAAACGCCGGCTACTAGGTATTACGGACTTTTGGAGTTTAGACTATGTAGGTAGTTCGGTAGTAGATACCTACCTACCTATCAGTAATAATACGTTAATAATATCACTATTCGCACAAAACCATAAAGATATAAATAACGACCATTTTGACTTTCACTTCCTGGTTCCTACTATTCCTGGTGACTGACTACTTGAGGCAATCGGCAAATAGGCCTACATAGGCATAGTTTTACTTGCCGTATTCGGTCGAACTAGTAAGTATACCAATAATATCATGACATGTAGTGATCACTGCGTAAAGTACTACTCGAAGTACTACTTAGGTACTGCGGGAGCATAGCTATTAGCTAATTAATAATTATTAGTGCCTAATATACGTATTATTTTTTTTACGTATAAATTATAGTAGGTAACAACTGCAGCTGATAAAAAAAAAAACCCTGATAACAACCAAAACGTTTTTTAAACAAAAACATATTATCTCCGTTTCTTATTTGACTGATAACTGATAAGTGATAAGTTACATAAGTTCACGATTATTAAGAAGTTCTTTATAATCGTGCATAAGTTGAAGTCACTATAGTTCCGAGTTCGTGGTTGAAACTTGAAGTAGCGATACTAGACGGGCCGTGGCCCGTCACTCAAGCCAAGCCGTCGACCTTTGTACATTTTTATATAATATTATATTAGGTACCAGTTGCGTATATACAAATTATTTTCACTATGGGCCAATTTGGGAAATTTATCACTATCCAAGCATAGCCCGACTAACATAGCCATAATACTATACATATTTCTGGGAGCTGGGTGGTTATAATTATGATGTATAACATATACAATTCAAATAAAAATTTCACAATTTAATTTTATAATTATGTAAAATTAATTTCTTAATTCTTTTTTAAAAAATATTGACAATTTCATTTATATAAATATTTTAATGTACTCTAACTGTGAATTTAACATCAAAGTCATCAAAATAAGTCCTGACAATCGTTTCGTTGTGGATTCCTCAAAAACGATTTTAATTAACTGACAATCGTTTCTTTGTGGATTCCTCAAAAACGATTTTAATTAACTGACTAAATAAATCATGGTGAAAAACAGTAAACAGTGTAGATATACATGTAATTGAACCTACAATTTCACTATTGGCTCTGGCCTAGGGGGCCTCCCCCCTATATACGCCACTGTTAGGTACTACTAAATTACTTTGGCGACTTGCACAAAAAATTAGACCAGCCCGAGTACGTGAGCACATTTGGTCTGAAGTTCGGCCGTTGGGGGCTTCGGGCTCTGTCATACATACCTTTATCAAGCAGATAAAAAAAAAAAAAATGAGCCAAAGGAAAAAAAACAATTTATTAATTATATTTTATTATAATTTATAGGTGTACCTACTTATAAATCTACATTGCATAATAATTATGTAACTACCTATATGATAATAAATAATATGATTAATAATATAGGATAAATCAATTAAACGATTTTGTATTTACTAAACAGTAATTCATTTTTTAATATTGTCTACTTGTTAAAAATACATATCATAATTGGCATAAAAAATATAACCTATATAAAGTAATAAGTATATATACCTAGGTAGGTACTTATAATATTTTTGGTTACAAATTCGTAATTATTGTAACAAAAAAATAGTTCAAATGCCTAACTTGTGTTATTTTCTACTTACTAGGTAGGTAGATAGGTACTAAGCCAAAAAAAATGTTAACGATTATACAAGCAGAATATTTCAAAATGCCAAAATCTGGGTACCTATAGTCTAAAGGTAGATCATTTTTATAAAACAACCGCTTCCGTTCTCATCATTAAGTGCCTCGAAAACATTAGGTAGGTACCTACATAGGTATATAATATAATATTATAAAATTATGGTAAATATAAACTTTAATTATGAATTAGGTATACAGACTTTATCAATATATTATAGTATTAACAATATTTTTATTATATTAGTAAACCATTTTAGATTCCGAGTGGAACGAATAACGATGAATGTATTGCTTTTACAATGATGTGTGTTTTTTAATTTTTTTTATTTTTGTGACTGTCTTCATGGTTTGGGGCAGTTAAACTGCTTCTATTTTCTTCAACAGTATCTTTTTTGATGGGAAAGTGAACCTAGTTGGTGCATCCGGGAGGTCAAAAATTCCCAATAGTTTTCACATAGCGACGGGAAAAACAACATTAAAATTAAGGAAAAACGGGAATTTTTACGCAAAATCGGTTTTCCACAAAATTGATTTTGGTTTTTTGTGTAACTCTAAAACAAATAAATTTATGTACATGAAATTTTCACTGGTCATTTTTATTTGCATTTCTATACCCGAAAAAATTTTCAAAATATTTTGATTTGTTTTGAGCTGTTTACGGATATACTCAGTTTAAAACTTTTTTAAGTTTTTTTTTATGAATGTCAATAAAACTTTATTTCTGAGATGAAAAAGCTTGAACATTTAGTACAAAGCTTCTATTATGATGTTACAATGACGTTTGAAAAATATTAACAATCCTTGGTCACAGTTTTTTTTTAAGCATTTAAAGTTCAAAAATTGACAAAATATGGAAAAATCACGAACAATTTAAGATTATCAATTATCATTAAATAAAAGTTAGGTAACTTTAATCAAAAAAATATTAAATTTAGTTTCGTTTACTGTACTTACCTACCTATATATATATTTACTGTATAAGATACCCACGCATCCAATATATATAAATATATGTACCTACCGACTATGTACCACCAATCTTCATAATTGTACTTACTATATATATAGAGATTAACTTAGGTATAGGTACCTACCTATAAAATCTATAGAGTATAAAGTCATATTTGGTGCTATACTGGTGCTATGTTGGGTACGCGTGCCAAAGATTTGCCATCCCTACATTATAGCTACATTATTATAGGTAGTTAGTTAGCCCCCGCTCAAATTGATGTTCATAATGTTGCCCTCCCTTGAAATTTTAATGGATTTCCACCTATGGCATATAGAACCTATATCACACATGTATGCCCAATTTAAATAATTACAAAAGTACAAAATTGAAAATATTATGTGGTAGATAGGTATGGCTGGATGATTTAAAAAAATAACACGATTTTATGGTACGTTGCAACGTTTGATCTGTTAATTTATCTGTTTGATGATAATAAAAATAGTAATACATAAAATAATAAAACATTCAAGCTTACTGGTTATTATGTCAATCGTGAAGTTCAAATTTTTAATAATAATTATATAATACCTAATATATAAACAATTTGACTATACATTCAAAGGTTGGTATATTTCTGTTTTACCAGATGGCTTTTTTTGATTTAACGTTTGTGTATAGTTCAGCATGCTGAAAACGATTTTGAAGTCAGAATTTTGCGGCCAGACTTAGTTTTGAAGTCCGAGGCCCACCCAAGGTGGTTTTATGTAACAAGTCGAAAGATATTTTCGATTTTAATTATCCGAACGAGCGCAGTGACTATAGTGACCACTTGCCGGGTGTTTATGAAAATACTATACATTTCTATTATTTATCTATAAACTAAGTCCGACCACCAAATTCTGATTTTATCTTTATGTTCATCATCTTTAACTAGGTATACGTAACCTTTAAAACAAAAATTATTGCAAAAAAAAGGGTGTCCGATAATACTGAAAAGTTCCGAAAACTTTTATGTTTAATTCTATTTTTTAAATTTCTTTAATGAATTTTAATTTTATGGATTGGATTCATGTTGAATTTAATTTATTTTAATAATTGATTATGTGATAATTACCGTCGATAAAGCTGGGCTCGGTTCACGACTCACTCATTCCAACCATAATATGGTGTGATCAATTATATAAAATAATAGTTAGTTAGTATGTTATTATATATTGTTGACTTAAGGTCAGCTCATTATGCTAATTTACCAATTCAATTTGTTAATTAAAAGAAACCTATCAATAGTTATGAAAATCTTACGTTATTTAGTTACTTCTATTCCTTTTTTTATGTCTATATTACTATATTTGGATCCCTATTGTATTCCGATATTATTCGATTATCCTAATATTTTCACCCATTTTCTTACGCGCTGATTTTTATTCAATTAAACTTAAACGAGGGGGACAACTTATATGAGAATAAAGTTGTCACGCCATGTAGCCTAATTCAAAGGACTTAATTAATTTCCTATATTGCGATTTTAGTTCCATTTGAATTACTAGACACACCTTCCGTAACTTTTAAAGCATCCAAAGTTAACAAAGGTGTCTCTCGTATTTCAGTAGTTATCAATTTTCTGGTTGTAGATGTTCGTCTACTCAAAATACAAAAATACAATCTACAACTGAACTGCATAAGTCACTAGTGGTGGCTTGTATTTTTATAATCAAATCGATTATATCGTTTGGTTACTCTGATTACTTCATGTGTGAGTGTCTGATGTCCTAGGCGTTATATATATGTGTAAAGAAAATAATAATATTAGTTAATATTAATTAGTTCATATGCTGCGAAAAGTGTTATTATTTTTATGTTTTAATTTCGTTCAGAAGTGTTTTACTAATATGTCATAGCCCTGTGTAGTCGAAAATACATTTGGTTAATTTGATATCTGCTTTTGGGTAATGTGCGTGTGTGATACTGATCCTATGTGTTTTAGAACAAAATAACAAATAGTGCTATGAGTATCTTCTAAATTTAATAGCCATC